AGCTGGTTTGGCTGGTTCAGCTAGAGCCCCTTCTTGACTGAGGGAATTCTGAGGAGAGTTCAGATTTCTCTCAGTCTGGTGTGCATGGACAGACTTTGTGGTTGATATTTCTGTCTTGTCCTTGCTCGGTTCTGCAGGCCGGACATGTTCGGCCTGCTTTTGGTTTTTCTTTCGCCCTCCTGCAACCTTGAAAGGCTCCAGGGTGACTGCCATTGTTTGATTCATTTTGTGGTCATGGAGAGAGTATAAAACAGATTGGTCCCCTTTCGGGGACTATCCTTATACCTGCTCTCAGGGTGAGGTCTTATGAAGGGCCTCAAAAAAGCTCTGTTTCCTACACTCGACCCTTCAGCACCACAGGACAGGAGATCCCCCTGGGTGGGCTGAACTCGGAGTTTTGGTGTGGTAAACGCTGTGCACCCCAATCCTGCTACAAGGGGGGTGTGATCACGTCACCGCAGCCCAGGCGAATGTTGGAAATCGGCGTTTCCCGCAGGCCCAGGCTGCACCAGGAAGTCAGAAGGAGAAGGCAAGAGTTAGGCACTGAAAAGTCGCCCTTGGTGCGTGGCCACAAACTATGTCCAGGACCAGAGGGTCCAGTCCAGGTTTGTAACCTCGCTCTCCAAGGGAGCGGTAATGGGGCACTTACTACAAGAGAAGGCCTGGCCAATTGTTGCGGCAAACCACGATAAATTGGTGGAGCTCTCTATGTAGTCTGTTGTCAAAAAAGTATCAGTCAAGCTCAAAGTCTGATGGCTGTTGCTCAGGAGGATCACGCCAAGTGGGTGACAATAATTGGGTGATCTCTCTCTGTACTCCACAGGGGAGAGGACCTATATATATATATATATATATATATATATATATATATATATATATATATATATATATATATATGTATATATATGTCACAACTGCGAGATCACCTTGATCAGTCGCTGTCGGTTTCCTGAGCCGCTACACTGCGGTTGTAAGTTTCGTCGCTCAGGACCTTCGGCGATATTTATCTGAGCGGGAGAGGCGGGCTTAGGTGGGCTGAGGTCAACCCTGATTGGTCACTTCGAATTGTGAGGAATGAGGGTGTTGCACCTATACACCGACGATTTTGCATAAAATGCACGATTTTCGGCAATTCGTCAGTTCTCCTGGAAAGACTCATCAGTGCTTCTGTGATGTGTTAGTGATGACCTCTTACGCTATGTGACCTCGCCTGCTCCACTTCTCATGTGCCTGCTATTCCCCTGCCTCCTCTGTGTGATGTATATAGCGTAATAGTGCCTTTCAATATATTCCTCCCTTATGTTTCTTCTGGTGTTTCACTGTTAACCTGGCCGATCTGATCATACCCTACAAACGAACCCTGACAATATATATATATATTCTTATATATATATTGTATATATATACATATATATAATATAAATATATATATATATATATATATATATATATAATATATATATATATATATATATATATATATATTATATATATATATAGTGACCGAGTATTTGCTAGAACACAAGATGTTGATCAGAAGGGATTATCACAAAGTGAAGGATGGAATTACTGGTGATGTAAAGAATGTAGCAGTTGTTGTGCCTTGTGACCCCAGTGATGAACAGATTGTTCCAGTGGTAGAACCAAATCTGAGTAACACTTACCTACTGAACAATCTTGAACAAAAACTCTCACATCTTTCTGATTCCCAGGTAGCCAGTATTAACGTTCTCCTGCAGGAGTACCGGGAACTCTTTGGCGACACGCCCCGTACTTGCCCTCTGCTCGCTTATGACGTCATGCTGAGTGATCCGACTCCCATTCCCCAAGCTCCGTATCGCCTCAACACGGAGAAGCTGGAGTTTTTGAGAAAGAAAGTCCACCGACTGCAGGAGCAGCCTAAGTCCCTGGGCATCCCCTGTGGTGCTGGTGCCTTAGGCCAGGGGATTACCGCCTGTGTGTGGACTACCGTAAAGTGAACAACGTCACTGTGGCAGACTCGTACCCTCTTCCACGTGTAGACGACATCATAGACGACCTGGGTCAAGCAAGTTAAATGTCTAAGCTGGAACTGCTACAAGGTTACTATCAAGTGCCCCTAACGTCTCGTGCCATTCCTGTGTCATCCTTTGTGACTCCTTCGGGCTGTGGGAATGGACTGTGTTTCCTTTCGGCTTCCGGAATGCACCTGCGATCTTACAGAGGCTCATGACTTATGTTACGAGCGACTTGGTGGGCGTGAGGTGCTATCTGGATGACCTGGTGGTGTGGAGCGAGACCTGGGAGAACCATCTGATGCGTCTTCGATCGTTATTCTAGGCCCTGTCAGACGCCAGTCTCACCGTCAACTTGAAGAAAAGCGAGTTCGGTCACGCCTTCGTCATATTCCTTGGTCATGTCGTGGGTCAAGGTAACGTTGCCCCTGTCGGAGCCAAGGTCTAGGCCATTCTGCAGTATCCAGTCCCGGAAAGCAGGAGAGCGTTAATGAGATTCATTGGCA